ATGAAGTGATGTAGTGTCTTTGGGTAGCTTTTTTGAAGTAAAAATGCATAAGCCGAGGCTCGCAATGCTACCAACGAGAGGGACTGGAAGCACTTTATAGGTGCTACACTATTAAAAAAATAAAATCTTTTTTTCTAATATTGTCCATTTTCTTGCTTAACAACAACCAGATGTTAAGCAGGTAACTTTGATAGGGCTGGGAGCTGCATTTTCGGGCGGTTTTCTTCTACCCACAATAATCACCTTCCTTTACACCAAAGTCCCCAAATCTGAGGTGATACGCAATGCTTGGAGTTGTGTGCAGGAGATTGACAATCCCCTCATTCCCTGGCCTGAGGTTTTCACTCGGTAGGTCAATTAAGTTGTCACTTCAAAAGTTCCGAGTTTCACTCTTTTAATGACATCTGTGCAAACAGAGATTTTAGGGCGCTTTTACTAGTGATCTGCTTCGTGCTAACTAAAAGTGTTGTTGTTGATCACCTTCAATGCCTATTGGACTGCCTGCATTGTTCTACTGAATAGACAAACGGATTTGCGTTTTTCCCCGCGTCTAAGTGAGAAGAAGCCCGCCTTGTCGGAGGTACGCAGAGCTCTAGCATCACTGCGTCATCTAACGTGGATGCTGGTCACTTTTAATTTCATCGTATACCTCGGCTTCTGGCAGATACCGGGACATGCAATACAAAAGCTCAACTTTGGCTGGTTCCTCTACTACGTAGGCGCTTTTGTTATGCATGAGATATCCTAAATTCATCACGGGCTAATGATTAAATTTGCATTAAAATGCATTTATACTCACCTTCTCTAAGCTCACTTGAGGATATGATTGAAGTGAGGCTTGGTGATGTCTCAATTTTGCATATTTTAGTCCCAATGGTAGGCCACAAGAGTGAGGATGACCACTTCTATTTTAACATTACACCTTTGTTTAAATTTGGTAGTCCTTTCCTAATTAAATGTGTCTCTCTTCCCAATAAAAAGGTGGCATCAATTGAGATCTGGACAATCCTATCCACTGTCTTCTGCCTCGTCTTTCCTCTCGTATCCCTGTTCGCCCAACATGGAGCATATTTGGAGTGTCAACTTCGAACTTTTAAAGTGGTGGTGAGGTAATACAATGTTCCACTCACAAATTATCAGTGTGTAGCAGAGGGTAGCCCTCCACACACACTGCTTTACGTCTACACTTGTCAACTTGTCTATTTGGGCTTTAGCATGCTTATTAGGGATGTGTTTTTCGTTTCCAGACGTTGGTCGTCTAGCCTTCGCCTTGGAAGGGTTCAACAATAGCGGACTTCCATACAGACGCACCACCACCCTTCCCAACGTCTCCAGGATGCCAACAGTAAAGACAAAAGTTGATGAGATCAAACAGCGTCGTCAAATGATGCTCTGTTACCTTTCGTGTTAGATTCACTGTGTAGCAGAACACACAATCAGCCTTGTTAAGTCCACAAGACATGGTAAATCCTTCTGGTTTGTTACTGGTCTTCAATTCTATTTTTATAGAGGTGATTTATAGCTGGTTTGTGCTAATATTGTCGAATAGGTGGATGCAGCTGTGAAGGTGATAGAAGAGTCGACTGCAAAGTAGAGTGAGGGTGTCGTGAAATAGTTGTCACTTCTGTAGCACTGAAAG